TGTAACGAACTGGGGATGCAATTGCAGGCTTTATTAAAAGAGTGTAGTCAGGACAGGCAGGTTAAGACACCAGCAAACAATCACATCCAAGGCACAGGCAAAAGAGTAATCCAACAAGACAGGCAATGGTCAGGGCAGGCAGCAGTCAATCAAAAACAAGGTAACAGTCCAAGGATCAAAACACGAGAAAGGCAAAACTAGGAACATGGAAACTAGGAAACACGGAAGGGCTAAACATTCAATCACCAGCAATGACAGAGGCTGCGTTCCACTCCACTTTTAGACACGCACTCGCAAACTTCCCTAAGCACTTCCCCTCTGGGGAATCCCCGCTGCCATTTTGAAGTGCGTTCCACTTTGTGAAGTGAAGGAGGGAAGTTTATATGGACAGACCCTCGACCCCTCGATTTTGACTGAGGGAGCGAGTCTGCTTCATAAGCACACTTCAGGCCGCTCCATAGACAACAATGCACCACGATTGTGACATCATCACAGATCGTGTTTCATTTATCCCCACCTCAAACAATTCTTTAATATCTAAATGATTTTTTTTTTACATTTATAACAGCCCAAGCATACCTATATAAATATAGAATGTTGCACCAAACAAATTCGTAAGGGGAAAAATGTAAACAATAAACCAACTCTATAGCAGATTCCAAGTAATCAAGGGCTTAGGACGTTCCAGTTCAGCCCATTCCAAGGGTTCTGTCGTAGTGAGCACTAGTGATGTTCGGTTCTTGAACGAATCGTTCTTTTGAGCCGGTTCTCACTAGTTCTCAGGAAGTAACCGGTCGAGCCGGTTCACATATCGAACTGAATCCAACTTTTCCGGGTTGATGACGCAGGACACACAGCCGAAGAAGCACGTCCAGCTCAAAAAGAACCAATTAAGCAGGTTCAACCGACTGTCAAAGTTTGCTGCGGATTACCGAGGACTCAACAAGAACCGAATGAGCCGTGGCGAAGTTTGCCTAGGATTACCGAAAATTTTGATAATTGAGTTGACGATACTGTGCCACGTACTGGAAATATGCTTATTATGACTGTTATTAATTTACATTTTATTAAAACCGGCAAAATCATTTGATGTAAATCAATTTTACAATAGTTTATTGTGCATGCATATTATATTTAAAGTTGCTTAAGCGAAATCAAGGAGTTTATAAGACTGGTTTATTCATTCTTTATACTGTAGACATGTAGAACATATCCGTGTCTGTAATGTGTGCTGTAGGTGCGAAACTTTTGGGAATCTTGTCCAAGTTGTAGGCTAGTCAATATTGGTCAGTCAGTCATATCTGACATAAAGGATCCGCGAATGAAACTGTGACCAGAAACACCATTAACTTGACTTATGGCAATAATCAGCAATATGCTTTCACACAAATAACTTTATTTTTTGAATGTTTCAATATTTGTTGACACAAATGACTTATTAGAATTTTTGTTAGTTGTTAGAAAATAAATGTGTAGAGATGTTATTGCTTGATGACGTCAGGAACCGATGAAGGACTCAACAAGAACCGAATGAGCCGTGGCGAAGTTTGCCTAGGATTACCGAAAATTTTGATAATTGAGTTGACGATACTGTGCCACGTACTGGAAATATGCTTATTATGACTGTTATTAATTTACATTTTATTAAAACCGGCAAAATCATTTGATGTAAATCAATTTTACAATAGTTTATTGTGCATGCATATTATATTTAAAGTTGCTTAAGCGAAATCAAGGAGTTTATAAGACTGGTTTATTCATTCTTTATACTGTAGACATGTAGAACATATCCGTGTCTGTAATGTGTGCTGTAGGTGCGAAACTTTTGGGAATCTTGTCCAAGTTGTAGGCTAGTCAATATTGGTCAGTCAGTCATATCTGACATAAAGGATCCGCGAATGAAACTGTGACCAGAAACACCATTAACTTGACTTATGGCAATAATCAGCAATATGCTTTCACACAAATAACTTTATTTTTTGAATGTTTCAATATTTGTTGACACAAATGACTTATTAGAATTTTTGTTAGTTGTTAGAAAATAAATGTGTAGAGATGTTATTGCTTGATGACGTCAGGAACCGATGAATCGACTTTTTGAACCGGTTCAATGAGCCGATCTGTCTGAAAAGAGCCGGTTCGCAGAAATGAATCGGACTTTGCATCACTAGTGGGCACTCATGCAATGTAATCAATGATGTACATCCGAGTAGTGCTGGACGGTATACCGGTTCATACTGAATACCAGTGTTTATTTTTGTTATGATATGAATTTTTAAAATACCACAATACACCAGTATTATACAACATTAACAACACTTAAACAACTTTCGGAACATGACACTGTTTGAAAGGGGTCCCTTTTCACTGTTGCACTGTGGTGAGGGAACAGCTGTATGTGTTACTACGCGTGAAAGTTCCGAAACTAAAGCTGTAGAACTAATAGAACGTGATGACACAGAAGAACTCATCCACAATATCCACATTGACTGCCACAAATATCCACCGCCCCTTGCCATCAGCTCCAGCATCTCACACACACGAGCGCCACTTTAGCATTAGATTTAACAACTTTCAGACCCTTTTAGCAGCTTTTTTCCATGGAATAATCAAAACACGAGAAAGGCAAAACTAGGAACATGGAAACTAGGAAACACGGAAGGGCTAAACATTCAATCACCAGCAATGACAGAGGCTGCGTTCCACTCCACTTTTAGACACGCACTCGCAAACTTCCCTAAGCACTTCCCCTCTGGGGAATCCCCGCTGCCATTTTGAAGTGCGTTCCACTTTGTGAAGTGAAGGAGGGAAGTTTATATGGACAGACCCTCGACCCCTCGATTTTGACTGAGGGAGCGAGTCTGCTTCATAAGCACACTTCAGGCCGCTCCATAGACAACAATGCACCACGATTGTGACATCATCACAGATCGTGTTTCATTTATCCCCACCTCAAACAATTCTTTAATATCTAAATGATTTTTTTTTACATTTATAACAGCCCAAGCATACCTATATAAATATAGAATGTTGCACCAAACAAATTCGTAAGGGGAAAAATGTAAACAATAAACCAACTCTATAGCAGATTCCAAGTAATCAAGGGCTTAGGACGTTCCAGTTCAGCCCATTCCAAGGGTTCTGTCGTAGTGAGCACTAGTGATGTTCGGTTCTTGAACGAATCGTTCTTTTGAGCCGGTTCTCACTAGTTCTCAGGAAGTAACCGGTCGAGCCGGTTCACATATCGAACTGAATCCAACTTTTCCGGGTTGATGACGCAGGACACACAGCCGAAGAAGCACGTCCAGCTCAAAAAGAACCAATTAAGCAGGTTCAACCGACTGTCAAAGTTTGCTGCGGATTACCGAGGACTCAACAAGAACCGAATGAGCCGTGGCGAAGTTTGCCTAGGATTACCGAAAATTTTGATAATTGAGTTGACGATACTGTGCCACGTACTGGAAATATGCTTATTATGACTGTTATTAATTTACATTTTATTAAAACCGGCAAAATCATTTGATGTAAATCAATTTTACAATAGTTTATTGTGCATGCATATTATATTTAAAGTTGCTTAAGCGAAATCAAGGAGTTTATAAGACTGGTTTATTCATTCTTTATACTGTAGACATGTAGAACATATCCGTGTCTGTAATGTGTGCTGTAGGTGCGAAACTTTTGGGAATCTTGTCCAAGTAGTCAATATGTCAATATTGGTCAGTCAGTCATATCTGACATAAAGGATCCGCGAATGAAACTGTGACCAGAAACACCATCTTATGGCAATATGGCAATAATCAGCAATATGCTTTCACACAAATAACTTTATTTTTTGAATGTTTCAATATTTGTTGACACAAATGACTTATTAGAATTTTTGTTAGTTGTTAGAAAATAAATGTGTAGAGATGTTATTGCTTGATGACGTCAGGAACCGATGAATCGACTTTTTGAACCGGTTCAATGAGCCGATCTGTCTGAAAAGAGCCGGTTCGCAGAAATGAATCGGACTTTGCATCACTAGTGGGCACTCATGCAATGTAATCAATGATGTACATCCGAGTAGTGCTGGACGGTATACCGGTTCATACTGAATACCAGTGTTTATTTTTGTTATGATATGAATTTTTAAAATACCACAATACACCAGTATTATACAACATTAACAACACTTAAACAACTTTCGGAACATGACACTGTTTGAAAGGGGTCCCTTTTCACTGTTGCACTGTGGTGAGGGAACAGCTGTATGTGTTACTACGCGTGAAAGTTCCGAAACTAAAGCTGTAGAACTAATAGAACGTGATGACACAGAAGAACTCATCCACAATATCCACATTGACTGCCACAAATATCCACCGCCCCTTGCCATCAGCTCCAGCATCTCACACACACGAGCGCCACTTTAGCATTAGATTTAACAACTTTCAGACCCTTTTAGCAGCTTTTTTCCATGGAATATTCATACTGACAAACCTAGCGACTCTTTTGGATAAACCTTAGCTATGGTTCAGTTGGAAGATTTCGCCAGTGCTGTCCCGCGAGCGCGAGGTCTGACTTTCCCGGAGAAGTGTCACCTCTCTCAGCGTCTGTTCTGTGCAGTGAGCGGCAGAGAAGCAGCGCTTCCTAGCACCTGTCGCTTACTGATTGTTTGGAATTATAAATATGAGCGTAGTTCGTCTGTTAATATCACATGCACTTTTTAGTTTGTTACTCAGACGCAGGCAGTGCGCTGCATGAGACAAAAAGTAATATAGCCAAAACAACCACATAGCCGCTCTTTAGTGTAGATACATGTTGATTTTATCAGACGATGCCGCGATTATAAATGAGAGTGACTCCTGGTTAACATGTATTAAAAGGGGTCGTGTTTAGTCACTATTTAGTGTGGTATTTTTTGATAATATTCACTCATCATGACAGTAAAATAGGGCATTCTAAGTCTATATACTGCAGTATTTCCTCTCTCAATCAGTAGAAAATATGGTCATGACAACAACATCATGTACCGTGAAATCTGTATAATTTTGAAAAATACCGTGACATAAATATTGGGTCATACCGCCCAGCACTACATTCGAGTAAACGAGACGAAGTGCAGTTTGCGAGTGAAGGGCATAAAAAAAATTAACTGAACGCAGCCAGAGAGTGTGTGCGCTATTCTTATAGTCCTACTAATGTGAGATAGCTGTGAACTGATGATGAAATCTGATGAGAGACAGGTGATGCACTTGATAAGTCCGGGTAAAGGACTATGGGAAATGGAGTCCTGAGTGAATGGCAAGGTACAGAATGGAGTGCCCTCTAGAGGAGCTCATGGGCACTCCAGCTGGAGATTGTGACAGTGCGATATAAAGTCGCAAAAATAGTTGCAATTGTAAGATATAAAAATATCACTGGGAGAGTAATAAATATTTAAAAAATAAAATTGCAATGGAACATGAATTCACAATTAAGATAAATATTTGCAATTGTGAAAAAACACATTGTGCAATATATTGTAATGTAAAATGATATTGTGAGATATAAAGTCTGAACTGTGAAATAAATCACGATTATGAAAAATGAAGTCACTATTAAAAGAGAGTTGCAACTGTCAGATATAGTTGCATTTGTCAGATATAAAGTCACCTTTCTATTTATTTTTTTACACAGACAGAAACAGGCTTCCATTTTTCAATAATTTCATATTTAAAATATTAATTTTATTTATACAATTGTAATTTCTGAGTAATTTATTTGCATTTATGCCGCCTCTGTGCGTCATTAAACAGTTTGTGTAAATAAATCTTAAACTATGTCACAAATCACTAAACGCACTGCTACTGTAGGAAAGATATGAAGCAATGATATTCTGTAAATAGAGCACTTAGTCTTTCATTTTCAAAACAGAAAAGCTTTCTTATGATATAAAACGCACAGTTTCTCAAAGTGCACCAATTTCCTCCTACTTAGTCAATGAGAGATTGTTCTTTCCTTTGAGTATATGAGATAATTCCAAAGGTCACAAGTTAAATCACTATGTCTATCTTGGTTAAGTCTTTTTTATTACATAATTGAGTTAGTTAATTAAATCTTGAAGGCCTGTCAAGCTCTGCATCCCACATGTATGTATGGTTCTGTACAAACCACAGTGAGATTAAGAACTTCTGGGGCACCTGAGGTGCACAGAAAACGTGTACTGTAATCTAAATTTAAATGAGAAACTTCAACCAGAAAAATAGCTGCTGAAAAGGAAAAACTATAGTGGTAACAAACAATCCCCACTTGAAATATCACCTCTAAAAATGCACCCTGGCCTGAATCCATTCAGGTTCGACATCTTGTAGTTCCTGAGAAAAAATAGATAAATAAATAAATTAACTAAAGGGAGTGACAAAAATCAATATCCAGTTCTTTCCCCCCTGCATAAAGTTGTATGTAATTCACTCACACACTTATAATTATGTGTCTTTCCTTGTCTGTTACTCGTACAGTGACTGAATTCAATAAAACTCACTCGAGGGGTGCCTATCGATTCTCCGTGACTTACACCTTTGCTTTTGTTCCTGGTGACACCTTCAGTACAAGTGTAATGCAGGTGAAATTGATTTATCTTGAAGTTGCTTTTGAAGCAACTAAACAACTGATGGTTTGGTGGGCAGCATGTTATCGGCCACCCATCAATGCTGAAACAAACATTCATTGGTGCTTTATTTGCTTGACAAGGCAGCTGCGGAATTAGGTTATTTTTCTTAAAGCTTTGGCATAAAAAGGACTGAAGCGCTTTATAATCCTTTCTATTGTTTGGACTAATGTGGTGACTAAGACTGCTTAACCAGTGTGCATCACAGCAGCTCAAATCCTCCTCCTCTTCTCCATTCTACTCCCATTACGCCACAAGCACTAATTCTATCTTAAATTACTACAGATGATGAGATTTGCTAATGAAGTACTGGCTAAGTCGGTCTCAAATACATTCAAAAAGTACCTTTAAATATGATTAATTAGATGCATTTTTTGACTAAATCTAGCTTAGTTTATGTGAGGGATAATGTACATACAGACATTATTGCAAAATAATCTCACCCAGAAGGAATTTATTTTTCAATAATGACCTTCTGAATGTACATTACACTGCTCATTACATGGCTACTTGCCAAATAAACAAATAAAAGAACATTAAATAATGAATTGAGTTGAAACTCTGTTATTAAATGAATTTATCTTAGATTAGCTTAAAGCTTCTGCAAAGAAAAACAGCCCATTACATCATAGAAAACAAGTCACCCAGCAACCACCCCAACACTGAAAATAAAAAAAATATTTATAATAAATTATAATTAATCTGCTATCATTCTTTTTCTAGGTATAACATATTTTGCTCTATTTTAAGTTATCTCAATCAGTGAGCATAATGATGTACAACATTGAAGTAAACAAGGTCATTTACAGTTGGTTATTTTTAAATGTATTAGATTTGAGTCACTAAGACGGCTACTGATGTTGCAATTGATTAATCAGAAGAATGCCAGAAATGCTTTGTTATTATTAATATGTTGAACTAACATATACACATACTGTTGTGGTAAGATTTACTTCCAGGAATTGTAACCTATTTTCTCTCTCACACCATCATCTCTGTCTCTACCCTCTCTACAGACTACACTTCAGCCGTTAACACACTGCGTGATGAAGACTCCACTGTGGACACTACTGTTGCTTGGACTGTGTAACCCAGCATGGTGTGACTGCCAGAAGGATTGCCTCTTCTGCAGCCAAAAACTGCCTAATGAATATGCCTTCAACAACTTGGTAATTCCCTACAGTGTCAATCACTTCACGTAGGAAAGAATATCACAAATGAGATCTCTTACTATCTCTTCTATACAGCAGTGAGTTTAAATGGAGTGCAACTGGAAACTTTTGCGTAGCCTCTCCCAATTTTTTTTCTCCCCTGAAAAAAACACCCCAATAATCTCTCACGTCTTGTCTAGAGTTTCTGAAGAGATCCCAACAACATCACAGATTGTGATCAGATTGTGCCAACGATCAGAGATTTAACATGAGCTCAAATATTTTTATTAAATTTTCAAACAGAATATACTGGTTATGCCCACCATATTAATTGTATAGCTTTATGTTCTTATATACATCAATAACTATATCATTTCAGTTTTTTCTTTCAAAGGAGAAACGTACAAAGTTGATAAAGTCACAGGCAAGCGGGATGGGCGATACCAATTATTTTGTTTTTGATACGATACCGATATTTTTCAAGGCAGCATCGTCGATATTGATACCGATTCGATACTTCTGAACTAAACTTTTAAATTATGAAATGTATTAAATTATTAAATTACTAAGAGTAAAATGGGTAATGATAAGCACTTAATTTTATGTTTAAAACGCATTTTAACATTCAATACGCCTTAATTGTAACTTATTAGGTTATATTTTTGTTTACACATGGTTCAAATATGTTTTTTTGTTTACACATTTTTCAAATCTATACATACTACAGTTGAACAACGGCCACTTTAGTAAAACCATGGTTCATTTTAATTAGGGACTGCCAGTGACCGGCTGTTGCATGCATAAAATGCATCCTTTTTATTCTGACAGTGTATGATTTCTATTAACATTACAGAATAGAACATGATCAATATTATCTTTCAATGTTCAATTTAAATAACTGTAATTGCACAAACTATGCAGGCTACAATTTCAGTTGGTTTATTGTGAAATAACTCTGTCCTTCTGTCCTCTGATAAGCATTGTTCAGGGCTGCCGTTCCCAAAAGCTTTAATGCTTTCTTATGATACTTTTGGGAAACGCAGCCCCGTTTGAATGTACTGTCAGAAGTGAGTGAACGCTCTCTGATTGATTAGTTCTGTCCTGCAACATTTGTGTGTGTTCAGATGAGCAGGAAATTAGCTCTATCCTACACAATTACTGGCTAACAAAGGTTGTTCGTCCAGTTCAATGCATATTGTACGCATTTTTTTTTTTAATTAACAAAATCACTGGTAAATAAAACACACCTTAATATCGATATTTTCTGTTTGAGTATCGATACTTTGGATCGATACGCCCATCCCTAAGCAGCACTTTCATTTTCCTCAGAAAATGTACAAGTCTAGTTTTATGTTACTCTGCGCAGATGTTCTACAGCTTCCTGAATTTTATTTCATTTTCTGTACTGCCCAAGACCTATGGCCTCAGATGTATCGAATTTCCCTGAGACACGCCATTAGTTGACATAATCTATCGATATTTTCCGTTTGAGTATCGATACTTTCGATACTCGCGTCAGTATCGATATATCGATACTTTGGATCGATACGCCCATCCCTAAGCAGCACTTTCATTTTCCTCAGAAAATGTACAAGTCTAGTTTTATGTTACTCTGCGCAGATGTTCTACAGCTTCCTGAATTTTATTTCATTTTCTGTACTGCCCAAGACCTATGGCCTCAAATGTATCGAATTTCCCTGAGACACGCCATTAGTTGACATAATGATAATGATCATAACAGTGGAATGTGGTTGTGCTCTGCAGCTGATTATAGCTCCGAGGAGGACGACATGCTCTCTGATTCATGTCAATAACACGCATTTGAGGGAGAAGAAGTGCTAATTTGGTTAAAGATGGCCCTTTGACTCAAAACAGCTGGGGTTATTCAGTTATCTTGTTGTGTAATTAAGTAGAAACACAATAACATAATTCGGCAAGGCTGCTTACGGAAACTGATGGGCCTGAGTAGCCCTCCATAGCGCAGACTCTACCTGAGGTGTTCTGATCATTTTCCAGCATGAATGAACAGATATATTATCTTCTGATAACTAACCAACTCCCTCGAAACTAAACTTTTCATTTAAAAGGGTTCATTTATTCCACCGGATAACAACTCGCGCTCCTTCCATTTTAAGGCGCGATGGTCATGAAGTTCACGGAAGTAACGTTAAGCCTATGGGCAAAACTTCCGGTTGATTAGTTGATTATTCATTGTTCCAAACCGCGATTAAAAGTGTGATATTGCTTTCATACAGTTAAATAAACCGTTAAAAATAATGTAATATTGGGTAA